GCTAACTTCAAAGAAGAAAGTGCTCATTTTGCTGTATAGTTTGGATATCTGGGTCCATTGGATGTCTGTCCCACTGGCCAGGCAGAACACTGTGGCAAGTGGAGTATGGCGGACCAACGAGGCTTTACTCATGGAGGCTGGGAAGCAAAGAAATTGAAGAAGGCCCAGGATCCCAATATACTCTTCAGTGAGACACTCCAATGACCTTGTTGTTTCCCAGCAGACCCTACCTACCCCCTAAAGGTTTTATCACCTCCGAATGGCATCATGTGCTGAGAACCCAGACTTCAGGGTGTGGGTCTTTGGAGGACAGTTGACAACCCAAACCTACTCCCCATATTCATGCGTTGAAATCCTAATTCCCAGGTTCAGTAGTTTTAGGAAGTAATTAGCTCCCATGAAAAGTAGAACCCCTGTGGAATCTGACTATACCTTATAAAAGAGGCCCTTGGGAAGTCATTCTGCAGTCTCACCTGTCAGTGTGGAAGCATCCCTACACAGAGAGCAGAAGTGCCAGCATCTAGACTGTGAACTATCCAGCCTCCGCAAGAGTGAGGGTTCTATTGTTATGATGTGTGACATAGGGTGTTTTGCTACAATACCTGAAATAGGTTCGGATACTAGGTTTTTCTCATGGTCTCCTTTATGGCTGCTAAGAAATCGTTATTTAAATTTAGCAACATTACCAACTGCTGAAATGATTATCTTCTTTTCCTCATTAGTAAGGTAATACTTTTCCTGTTAAGAGAGTGAAAAGTACCCACGGCTTTCATATAATAGAGTACTTACGTTTATTGGCGGATACATTTTATGACTAGTCATATTACCATCAACCTCTAAGACTAGGAGGGCAGTTTTAATGTTCTTTTTTTTTAATGGGTTGGCCTGGGAGAAGAAAAAGGCAAAACCAAAAGCAAGGCTAACAATGCCCAGCAGAAACATGTCAAGTGAAGCCCTTGGGGCAGAGGAAGCCTGGCAGAGTGCACCTTCTTTGCAAAGAATTTCAAAATACAAGGAAGTTAGAAGTATATTAATTTATAGAAAACAAACATAAGAAGCAAAGTAATTCATAGACAACAAACACATCTTTCACAGATAATGCTGTTGTTCAATTTTACACCATGTGCTTTGCCATTCTTTCTGTGGGTGTGTATGTATGCACACGCAAACACACTCACACATTGTTCTGAACATGTGAGGCTGAATCACATTCACATGCCCAATACCCAAAATATCATATATTTTCCAAGACTAGAGAGAGTCTTTCCTGCAATGACAGTTCACTCTAATGTAACCCCTGTGTGTACTCTAATCCACAGGCTGACCTCATGTTCTTTGAAGCATATGCAAGACACAACCAGGATCCTTCCCTGCGTATGGCTGCCGTGTATTTTCAGTATAATGTAATCTGGAAAATTTCCACGACATTTTTTCTTTTTTTTTAATTTATATTTTATGACATTGACATTTTTGTTCTTTATTTTCTTCTTATTTATTGATTTTTATTGAGCTCTATCTACATTTTTCTCTGCTCCCCTCCTCCCTTCAACCCTCCCACAAAGTCCCCATGCTCCCAATTTACTCAGGAGATCTTGTCTTTTTCTACTTTCTACTTCCCATGTAGATTAGATCTATGTAAGTCTCTCTTAGTGTCCTCATTGTTGTCTAAGTTCTCTGGGATTGTGGTTTGTAGGCTGGCTTTCTTTGCTTTGTGTTTAAAAAATACCTATGAGTGAGTACATGTGATAACTGTCTTTCTGTGTCTGGGTTACCTCACTCAATATGATGTTTTCTAGCTCCATCCATTTTCCTGCAAAATTTAAGATGTCAGTGTTTTTTTTTCTGCTGTGTAGTACTCCATTGTGCAAATGTACCACATTTTCATTAGCCATTCTTCGGTCGAGGGGTATTTAGGTTGTTTCCGGGTTCCGGCTATGACAAACAAAGCTGCTATGAACATAGCTGAGCATATGTCCTTGTGATATGATTCAGCATCCTTTGGATATATACCAAAAGTGGTATTGCTGGGTCTTGAGGAAGGTTTTTTTTCTAATTTTCTGAGAAATCGCCACACTGACATCCAAAGAGGTTGTACCAGTTTGCACTCCCACCAGCAATGCAGAAGTGTTCCCTTTACCCCACATCCTCTCCAGCATAAGTTGTCACCAGCGTTTTTGATCTTGGCCATTCTTACAGGTATAAGATGGAATCTCAGAGTTGTTTTGATTTGCATTTCTCTGATGACTAAGGATGTTGGACATTTCCTTAAGTGTCTTTCAGCCATTTTAGATTTCTCTGTTGAGAGTTCTCTGTTTAGGTCTGTATTCCATTTTTTTAAATTGGATTATGTGTTCTTTTGATAACGAATTTCTTGAGTTCTTTGTACATTTTGGAGATCAACCCTCTGTCTAATGTGGGGTTAGTGAAGATCTTTTCCCATTCTGTAGGCTGTCATTTTGTCTTGTTGACTGTGTCCTTTGCTTTACAGAAGCTTTTCAGTTTCAGGAAGTCCCATTTATTAATTGTTTCTCTCAGTGTACATGCAGTCTGCGGTACATGCACTCTGCAGTTCATGCATTCTGTGGTTCTTTCCCATCTTCTATCTACCATCTATCATCTAGCCACAATATCAGCACAGAGTCTTGAATTATTCTTTTTCCCAGTGGTTTAAAATTCATGATGATAATTTATAAATTTATGATTTCTTAATGATTCTTAAACTTGTGATTTTATCAAGTATTTTGCACCCAAATTGTCCCAAGTTTGGGGAAGTTTCTTTGGGTTCAGGTAATACACTTCTCTTATTTCTTTGATTATTTTTGATTTTAGTGTATAAAAATGTTTAAATCTTAGCTGGGTGGTGGTGGCCCAGCACTCGGGAGGCAGAGAAACCCTGTCTCGAAAAACAAAACACAAATAGTTAAAATCTCACTGAGTACTACTCTGTCTTTATGTGGAATCAGCCATTCCTTTTAGTGAGAAATGACATCAAGCAAAAAGCTCGGAGTGCTAAGCATACTTATGTGTCTGGGGTATCTGTACTTCTCGCTCTTTGGGGAAACAAAACCAGAAGACCCAAGCATGCAAACATACATCAGGTATGTGCTTATATCATACACATACAAGTGTAGTTGTGTTTGTACAATTGTACCTATTTATAAACACACACACAGCTTGGAGATTGTATTAGTCCCTGTGACAAAACACCTGGTCTAAACAACAGGAGGGAGGGTTGCTGTGGCTGGTAGCTTCGGAGATCAGAATTCCAAAGGCTCGGTTAGTTACCTACATTGGTTCTGGGCCTGTGGTCCACGAAGCATGATCACACCCAATCTATATAGCAGAGGTAAACTCGTTGAAGGTAGGGGGCATAAAAAGAGGGAGGGGCCTGGGGCAACCTTCAAAGGCATGCCCGCAGTGATCTACTTCCTCCATGTAGACCCCACCTGCTAACGTTTTTAACATCACCATAATAGTCCCACCAGTTAGGGGGTCAAGACTTTAACATGTGTGACTGTAAGGGACATCTCTATTCACAGCATGATGGAAACCATGGGTTTACACTGATCGCTTTGCATTTATTCATGGATTTTCCTGTCTTTCCTCATTTGTGTGTGTGTGTGTGTGTGTGTGTGTGTGTGTATAGATAGATAGATAGATAGATAGATAGATAGATGATAGATAGATAGATGATGATAGATAGATAGATAGATGATAGATAGATAGATGATTGATAGATGATAGATAGATAGATAGATAGATAGATGATAGATAGATAATAGATAGGTAGATGATAGATAGATAGATAGATAGATAGATAGATAGATGATAGATGATAGATAGATAGATTGATTGATGATAGATAGATGATAGATAGATAGATAGATAGATAGATTGATAGATAGATAGATCGATGATAGATAGATAGATTGATAGATAGATGATAGATAGATAGATAGATAGATAGATAGATAGAAAGATACCTTCTTCCACCTTGAACATTTGATTGCCATGAACATTCGCATAATTCTCATTTACTCAATTATACATTAATTTCATTCTTATATAAGCACAGTGGCTTCTCATTCTTGAATATCAAGAATTACTGAATTCATTAATTTTACGACTACCAAACACAAAAGAGGCCATATGCTCATCAAATCTTGTATGAGAATGTAGCAGCTTTTATTTACCATATACAAACATGGGTTATAACCCAATTGTCTCAATAGAAAGATGGATTACCAAAATGATACAGTTATACAATGAAATAATACTCATCAATAAAAAGGAACAAATTACTACTACATATAACAATCTGGATGAACATGAAAAACATCGTGCTAGGTTTTAAAATGGAAACAGAATGAATGTATGAGGTCTGGTTCTATTTTAGGCAAAGCTAATCCAGCACCACATCAGCACCATCGTGCTTCTGGTGGGTGAGACAAAACAAGATTTGGAGGGGGACGAGGAAGCTTTCTAAGATTAAGGACATGTGTTTATCTTGGTCAGGATGTGAGCTATGTAGGTGCCTACACTTGTCATCGTACATTCGATTGCTGTGGTAGCCGTGCATCCCATTGCCTGTACATTGTGAAACTTTGGCCGAAATGGAATGGAGGTGGCTCCTATTGGCTGAAAGTAGAGCCCCCCAGTTTAAAACAGCTCATCCCCTTGTTTTGTTTTCTTTGTGGTTCCCCTGCCTCATACATTTCCAGGCCCCTGGAGACATTTATCACTGCCCAGATCAATATTCTTACTTTGCTTTAGTATTGATTACTTCTTTTCAAACAGTATGAGCGCAGCCTAGGCTGTCACTTAGCAGGCAGTGATTTTCATGGACTATTTGTGCCTGGTCAATACAGAAGGATTAACATAGTAAGACACGGATGAAACGGAAAATGTCTAAATTAACAAAGTTAGGTTAATTCTCAATTGAAACATTTACCTATAGAACATATCAGGACAAATGCAAAACCAGACAAGTCAGCTGCAGGGTCCTCGGGTCTCACTGAATGATTCCCAGTCTTAGGTGGGGAAGCACCAGTTGAATGATGCAGCGATTTTCTCAGACCTTCTCATAAATTCTGGTGCAGACCACGCCCTTCATCATGCATTCCTTAAGAGAGGGAGATTGACTGTGTAAAATACAAGTTAGAGAACAGGACATCTGGAATAAAACAGCGGTCTAAATGAACTCATACAATCACATTTAGACAGGATAAAACATTCACACGCCAGCTCTCTAGCAGTTCACAATTATGGCCACTGGCATTTGAGGACAACTTTTAAGGTTGATCTGTGTTACTATCCATGATATATCCAGTAATGATGCTTAATGTTGGTAGCCAGCTTTGTGGGAGCTGGAGTCCTCACAAAGATAAAATAAAACTTTATGTGTGAAGGAGTGTCTGTGTTGGGTAACTGAGGTAAGAAGACCTGAAGACTGGGCACAGCCCACATTAGCGAAGTGCTGTTCCATGGACCATGGCCTAGACTAAGGCAGAAGAGGTGAGCTGGATTCTAGTGTTCATCTGTCCTTGCTTCCCGATATTCAGGACAAACTTCCTCAAGTGCCTGGTCTCCTGTCTCCCCGGACATGATAGACAGTATCTCCTCTCACCATAGGTCAAAATCCTGCTGGTCTTTGGCATCTGGCTTCAGTGTGGACAGGACTTACCTTGGGTATTGCAAACCCCTTAGCAGAGAAAGACTAAGAGCTGGGTGAGAAGGAGGACATATACTGGAGTCATGTGTCGTAAAGAGTTTAGAGAAAGAAGACTTTTATTGACATTGTGTAGTGCTCGTAAGAAAAAAGGAATTAAGGTTGCTTCTTCTGGACTAACAGCTTTCTTACAATTTGTACGATGATGTAGTCCTTGGCTACTTAGACTTGGGGACATGGGATAAGGTGAGTAGAGACAGTCAACACTGCACCACGTTTAAAGAGTCTGAGAGCATGCCAGTGGAAACTTGTTCTCTCTGTAATGTCACACCAGGCCCTTGACGCTAAATTGTAAACTGCACCCGGCGATGACCCACCTCTGCCTCTGGCTCCTCCACCATGTGAAGAGATGGATGCTTTCGTTAAAATGTCATGGGTCAAAGCAAAATACCTTTTATGTTTCCCAGGCTCATGTTGTCTCTATAGTTTAAAGCTTAAAAAAGTGATAAGAAAGTGATTTAAGGTATATTTTTTTTTAAAAACCTGCAATGTTGCTTATGGTTTAAAATGTATATAATTTGCAACAAAATTTGGCTTTAACATATAACAAAAAAACTTATAATTAAAATTCCATACATGGGTGTATATATACATGTGTGTATGTACACGTGTGTATATGTGCGTTTGTGTGTGTGAGTTTGTGTGCGTGTGTGATATTCAGTTCTTTTTTAGGGTGTGTGTGTGTGTGTATAACTTAGATTATCATAGTCTGGTTCAACAGGACCCCAATAGTCTCCATCCAGGGCAAATAGTGAGACATTGCCCACCACTTGCTTCTAGTTTGTTGTTGGAAGTTTTTGCCTGTATTTTGTGTATGTGGATTGGTCTATGTTTTCTGGCATGTCTGTAAGTTTTGTTGTAAGCATGGAGCTGAGACTGAAGTATCTCTGCTGCCACAATCTCTGAGATCACTCGTCACTGGATTCAGCTTGGCAGGGGTTCAGACATCTTTTTTGTGTGGATAACATTACTTAAAGTTTCCTCTGTGACCTGTGTCAGATTGATCCACCTGACATTGATGGGGAAAAGGAAGCAAAGTAGAACAGCCAAAAAATTAGACTTGGTTTATGTAAACATTCTGTTCCTCAAGACTTATAAGTTTATTGAATATGGTTTAAAAATTGTAAAATCTAGTTTTTTTAAAGATTAAAACTAGTAACACTGAGGGGTTGATAGTCTAAAATCTATGTATAGGAATCTTAAAAGAACCGTGTGGCCTGATCCCATCTTTAGGCAGCCATTTGACTGGTCACCATCACTGCTAGGGTTAGAGAAGATGGATGTCATGTGACTTCACTGCCATCGTAATGAAAGGTGACCCTGTGGAGTGCGACTACCAAAAAGACACCAGCAGGTCTCCGAGATATTTTCGATTAGGATAGATTTTTGTGTGATAATTCCTTTCCTGCAAACAAGGTTTACAAAAGATGGGATTTAAAAAACAAGGTTTAATAAGGCATCAAACTACACCTCCATGCATTTATATGCAAGACTGTACAAAGCCAGAGTTGATAACACTAAGTGTCCCCCAGGTAAAGTTGGATTTAAGACATGAGGGGTCATAGGGAAGCAGCTGCAAGGGTGAACCTTACCAGTTTCAGAGATGCTGGATCCATGATTGGCACCAGAAGCCCCAGCACCAGTTAAATAGAGCGAGCTGGGACCTGGAAGGTAGGCTATGAAATGCGGCCCAGGTTGAGTCCAGAGAGGAGACCCAAACCCCTGGAAAAGATTGTTCCCTCTGTTGGAGCTAGGTTCTGCCTTGGGTGGGTTACCTCTTGGAATAAAATAGAGTACTTTACTTCTGAGAGATTGTACACTTTTTAAAGAAAAAAGTGGAGTTTTACAGACATTTAAATTATAAAAACACACTGGGAAACATTTAGATTTTGAACAGTTTTAGTTTAGAAAACCTTTTATCACAATGTCTTTATGCAATCTTGGGAGACAGTTTGCTTTTTGAAGCAGCAAGCGCCCTGCTCCTTTCTCCCAAGGTGTCAGCTGCCTTCCCATTTCCCTACACTCAAAGACTCAGGCCTAAGGCCTCCCTTTCCTAGAGCTACCAAACAGTTTACCTTGCTACCATACTCAAAAAAGAGATAAACTCACAAAACAGATTTCAACAAAACTTTTTACTATTCCTTTATTTACAGAAATTCACTTTACCTGACTGCTCTGTGTCTTGAAGTGAGTGATTGAAAGAGTAAGGTGTGAAGTTTATGTAAGGTCTCAGGACAAGAAAGCTTAAGTTATGAGGCTCTAAAAAAATTGTTTTAGGGTTCTAATATGGTGTTTTACAGTGTGTATAAAGGTTTGAGGACAAAAAAAAATAAAGATGTGTTTCCAGGTACGTGGATGCAATTTGTGAAGGTATGAGAAAGACGATGGCTTTAAGGTTTATGGAAAACGGCTCAGAATTCTTTCACTCTCTATGTTGTTGTTACATTAAGACTGAAAATCCAGAGTTTTAGCATTAACCAACGGAATTCTGATAAACTGTTACTCTAGCTCCAGTAAAGCATAGCTCCTATTCAGTCACAAGCTCAAGATTTTACATTTCTTTTGGTGGTTTTCTAAATGTAGACTTAAAAGTGCTTTTTGTTCTGCTAAAGGCATCTGTCTAATCTACATACTCAGTCTTCTAACAGGTTCTTATAGGCTTCAGGAAACTGCTTGGATCTACCTCACAGGTCATATGAACTACAGATTAGGTACTGTCAATCAGTGGCCTATTTCCCCACCTGCCTATTCCCGAGGGAGTGGGAATTCCCCTCTTCCCTGGTCCTGGGGCTTCCTTTCCCCAGCTACCAGAACCATGGAGCTAGAAGTTTCCATTGTACACCTAGCTCTAGACAGTGGAGAAGAGCCTGGAGAAAAAGGGATTTGGTCAACATCCCACCTATGCCTCAGCATCATCAGGAAGTAGTCACAGATGAATTCTTTGTTCCTTATCATTCATTTATTATCAACAAAAAGGCTGGGACTTGGTAAATTTCAAACCTGGGACAGAGGTGCCTGTTTAACATTTCAAATCAAAGCTGAACCTGGCTGCCAGGTTATCCCAGCACCCTTCAGTCCCTTGCTGTTATAGGGTGTGACCACATACCCAACCTTCTTCCCTGGACTCTCCAGCCCAAGGCTGGGTTGCCTTCCCTGCAGAGGCTTTCCCCTATATAATCCAGACATTTTGGTTGCAGACCTTACATGGCCAAATTACTGTAATTATTCACGGTGTTACAATCTCCCTTGGCTTCCGCATGGAAAGATTTTTAAATTTCTTAAATTCCTTTGTCGCAGAAGGAACCTTTTCGTCATTTATTATAAATTTGAGCATTGTTCTAGACTTTGTGCTCATTCTTATCCTTCTTCTTCCTGTCATTCTCTGGTGACTGACAAGCCTATTTGATCTCTTCATCATAGTTTCTAGATGTCTAAATTACAAAATTAAAAAAAAAAAGAGGAGATGCATGGGCCACATAATGACCATTACTGCTTGACAAAGTTCCAGCATTTCAACATTAGCCCACACTTCCCCAGTACTTTTTAACTTTCATTTTTAAAGATTCTCACTAGTAATGTCTTCCCCCTTTGGAAAAATTTGTGCAGGTTTTGAAGGATGAAAATGTATACAATGGTAGCCTCTCTCTAAACAAAATAATTCTCTGGAGAGAATTCCCTGCCACAATGGAAGCAGGAATCCCATTGTGCCCTCCTAATTACACCAAGTGCAGGAAGGTTAGAGATTTACTAGACGTGTTTGATCTAGGATGAGATGCCTACAATCCAGATCCAGAGTCTGAGGCCACTGAGGGCAAGGGTTCAGTTAAGAAGTGTAGAGAAACCAGAACGGAATGTTATAATGGGAAAAGAGTAAGACACCAGGACCTTCTCTTTCAGGAGTGTGGTGAGGGGACAGGCCCATGTAGTATGATTAAGACACAGACACATTTAGGGAACAGCTCAGGGCTTATCCCCATGAGGAACGAAAGTTGTTCTTAAGTTATAGTATAATATCTGCTCCCTAGACGTCCTTTTCCCAAGGTCAGGCATTTAGATAAGGATCTCCATTCCTTTGGGGCTTGAGGAAAGTTCCTGCTTACTAAAGCAGTCATTCTCCTTATCTCTGGCAAGAAAATTTAATTTCCCTTCATTAACATATGACTGTTGTCAAAGTCAATGCTAAATTCCTCAATCCCTGATCTTGTCACACCCCAGCTCAGCGCTCCCGTTCTCCCATCCAATCCTATGTGCTAATCTAAAATATAAAAGACATATTCCTTTTTCAATAAACACAGCTGGCTGGCCGGGCGGTGGTGGCGCACGCCTTTAATCCCAGCACTCGGGAGGCAGAGGCAGGCGGATCTCTGTGAGTTCGAGACCAGCCTGGTCTACAAGAGGACAGGCTCCAAAACCACAGAGAAACCCTGTCTCGAAAAACCAAAAAAAATAAAAAAAAAAAATAAAATAAACACAGCTGGCAACCATCCTGATTCACCCTGAGATTGTGTCCAGTCCCTGGTTCTTGTTGTCCCCCCTCCCACTCCACAGTCCTCTTTGGGACTTGAGCCCCCGCCTAAGCAGGTCTCTGGCATAGTTCTTTTTTCTGAAGATACTTTTTAGTATTTTGCTCACAAGGAGAATAGCGACAAATAAAAAATGATTTTTTACATTTGCCTTATCCAGTGAGTGGTTAAATAAACTCCCAAAGAGGTTCTGATTGATTGATCTATAATGGGCCCTCATGTTGGAACTGTCTGCCCAGGTAAATTTAGTGCATAGCGAGAACTAAGAACCACACACTAGCCCGGCTGTGGTGGTGCACGCCTTTAATCCCAGCACTTGGGAGGCAGAGGCAGGCGGATCTCTGTGAGTTCGAGACCAGTCTACAAGAGCTAGTTCCAGGACAGGCTCCGAAACCCTGTCTCGAAAAAAGCAAAAAAAAAAAAAAAAAAAAAAAAAAAAGAAGCACACACTGAGAGAGTGAGAGAGATAGCAGAAACATTGGAGGATTGTGTGTGCCAGTTAGTGAGCACAGAGACACAGGCTTCAGGCCTTCCAGTCCATCTTGACTCTTTTTCCTCGGATCTGCTAACTGAAGGAGGTCTTCGCTTAGATTGCATTTTTTACATTGTTTAGGTAAGTTCCTATGGACTATTGGAAGCAAAGTACTTTTACTGCAAATATTCTTTAATTGAGCCTCTCAGGGTTATATTTTACTTTTGAAGTATACTTTTTTTTTTGCTTGTAAGCCCAAACAAGTGACATTTATCCATATTTTCAATATTGTTTAAACGTTATTGTTTTGATACGGCTGCTTGGAAATCTTGAACTAACACTTAATGGACTTAAATATGAATCCTTTATTGTTTTCCAGTTAAGCATTAACTCTGGCTTTATTCTTAGCATTATGGTCCATTTGTAGTCTAAAGAACAAGGGACATTTTGAGACAAGCATAATCAATGTATTTATGTAGTTTTATTTCTATCCCGAAAATTGGGGATGTTCTTATTAATCATCTCAACTCCCTGATGCCCACAAAATCAGCAGCGACGCCAACAAAATCAGCAGTCACGCAGATGACACAGATGACCGGCTCACACATGCGCGCAAGGGCTTAGCTGAGTCGTACGTGGACGTAACCACGCATGCACGCACATGGGTCACACAGGACTCTAACATTCGGGCACTTCTGCCTGAGGGCTTGTCCCCACATGTGTAGCTCTAGAACCTGGAAGTATCAGCCTATGTGGCTGAGATCTTACACTTACCACGACCATTTTCCCGTCCAGCAGCTTCCTCTTTATGGTTGTCTCTTTACTGTTCCATCTCTGCACTTGTTGCAGGGCTCCCCTCTCCAGCGTCACGATGCTCTGCAAAGACAAGTTCAAGGTTAGCTCGCCTCAGTTTGCATGTCAGATGTCTCAATACATCATGTTCATTCCCCACTGCCTATAATCCTAGAAAAAATAATCCTGTCTCTCGATAGTTGACTGGACCAAGTTTCAGGACAAATATTACACATTACCTTGGTTTTTCTGTTGTCAGCTGTGGTTTCTTCAAACTCCTGGCCCAGCTTGAAGGAGATCTCTGTGTTTTTAAAGGCGCTTTCTGTTCTTATCGTCATATAATCCCCCTTCTTGCTGATGACCACAGTGGGCTTGGCCAAATTTCCCAGTTTTCTGTTGGCTAACCCCACACCTGAAAAGCAAGGCAATATCAGATTGTGGGAGTCAAGACAACATATGTAAGGGACAATGGTGGTCACATTCTGTATTTAGCAGTACCTTCAATGAGTAGATGGCAGGGTTTCCTACCAAGGACTTCCTCCATGTTTCAACAGTGAGCAGAGAAACATGTTGGTGACGCAAGCATTTTAGTGTAGTGCTCAGCAGTGGTGTCTACAGAGTTTACAGCGCAAACACTGTTCAGTTTTGCCCACTTTGCTATGCCCAATGCTACCCTCACCACAGAATAAATCACTTCTGTTCCATATAAGCTTAAAAACAGCTTAGCTTGTAATTACAAACATAGCTATTTTCAATGAGACGATCTCTCTTCTCCTCCAGACCCCCCCCCCCCCACTGGTCTATATTTTCTGTCAATAAGGAGCTATGGCCATAGTGAAAGCCTCCTTTTTATATCCTTGATTGAATCTTATTTCTGACATTTTGTAGTTCCTAAATCTTCCTGGTGAAAAAACACAATAAAAGAAACTGTCCATCACCCTTTTCTGTCTGTGGAAACTGTTCCAACACAGCATTAGTGTGACTGAATTTGAACTCACTGCCGCCGACCAGTTCTTTTGATCTCAGCCACTTTTAAATGTTACACACGTCCTCACCTAGGGGCTGCTTCATTTCTCAAGCTTCACCCACATGATTATTTAATAATGGACAAACTCAAAGCAAATAAAAAAAGAATCTTTAGTTTGTATAAAGATTGAAATTTAAAATTGCGGTTTCTAGTATTCAACTCTTTATCTTATGAGCCTACTCATTTCTGATAAACCAGCTTTCACAAAATCCCAGAATATGGATGGACTAAAATTCTAATATTTTCCCCAAGTCTCCAAAGACAAGCCTGTGAAACTGCCTTCCGGTCCCATGCATTTAAATAGCTTCATTTAAGTTAAGTTCTGATAATTTACTCCCAATGAGGTGGAAGTAAATTTCATGAACGACACAGAAGATCGCACTTCATCCCACATGACATTCCCTAGACACCCGGAAAAAAGCGTTAGAAGAAAACCTCTTGCATCTTTCTTTAAAGGGGTGTTTGCCATGGAGGGTTTCTCACCCAGAGCTTTCATGTAGTCATCAAAATGCTCACTGGAGACAAGTTTCCAGGTGCCCAGAAATTTGTTGCTCATTGCGATGGATGAGAATTCAGCGCAGTTCCTGATGGGATGCAGCAGATGCCCCTGGGATGCTGAGACCTTGCACAGTACTTTTCAAAGACACCCAAAGCATGTGACTTATGCTGAGACCCAATGGGGAAAGGCGGTGATAGGACTGGGCAATGAACGGCTCTTAAGTCATAAACTGCCTACCCATGGGAAAAGAAACCCCTACATAATGTCCCTGTGTTTCCACAACCATGAAAATAACTGAAAGTATTGTTTGAACCTTCAGAATATTCTTTTGGTTGATCTTACATTGATATGAGTGCTTAAGTCCTTCTATGCATTATATGCTTGTGTGTGTGTGTGTGTGTGTGTGTGTGTGTGTGTGTGTGTGTGCATACCCATACATGAGTACATTTGAGTGCACTTGCATGTGTGTAGGCATCTTGGTGACTCTTAATTCAGCACAATTAAGATTTCTTAAAAGAAAGAAAAAGTCTGTGAACATTGTCATAAAAGGCTCAAATATGCTGTGGGAGAGAAATGGAGGGCCGCACTGTGAGGACAAATTCAGAGGTGAGGGAGGCTTGGCATAGTTTTCATATTCTGGCAGGCTGAGTAGGCAGACAAGAAGGTCCAGTCTGTCACAGCCGAGCACAGAAGATGCATTCATACATCAGGATTGAGAAGCAGCCCTGTAGCTCCTTTAAAAAAGCTAACCTGGAGACAATAAGTTCTTAGTTTCTATAACAACTTTGGATTTAAGACATTTAACAAAAATCTAGAGATAAATAAAGAGATGATTTCCCACAATATAATGTCAATGGATGCTGAGAGTTTAGTATTGAATGGCCCCCATGGAATGTGCTTAGTTCAGATCGCCTCATTTCATCCTCTCAGCACCATAAGAGACACATACTGTTGTTAATGACCAGCTTGACAATAAGGAAAACTGCATCTTGAAGCAAGGAAATTTATTCCCAAAAGTAAACTGTAAGTCTGGATTTAAGTTAGTATTGTTCCCCAGTGCTAAACTCAGATTCTGAACTAGTATCTCCCCATTCTACAAAACAACAACAACATGCGCACACACATACATACACATATACACACATATACACATACGCGCATACGTGTACAGATCCTGACTAACATTCAGAGATCTTAATATGCCATGGCTGTTTAGCAGTGCTCTCTATTGTGCGCTCCCCCCCCCCCTTTCAATATCAGACAATCAAGTGAACCAGGTGACATATCAGAACCCCAGTCGTTGACCAGTGGGAAAAAATGTCAATCTAGTTCATATGTAAGTCTTGTTCCCAGTAATGGCTGCATGGCTCCCATGCCTTGCTACCAGGTTTTCTATACTAACATTAATTCTGGCTGAGTAACAACTATTAGCACTGGATTTTACATTTTCAGCACACAAGTCAGCAGTGCTCACAACTCTGGAACTAAATATTCCACAACCATTTCACTTCTAACAGATAGAATCCTTGGCTTTGAAGGCTCGGGTCCCCAGTACTATAGCTGAATTGTCTATTGCAACCACGTGGCTCGGCATCAAGCTGACTGAGAAACGAGGCATCACATACAGTGAGCCAGGCCGCATCTTCCATGACCAGTGTCTGGTAAATTCAGCAGGGAAACAGCAGTGAAAAGGAAATTTCCTTAGCCTACCCACTTCCAAACCCAAGGCAGTGTAAGTGGAGAAAGTTTGCTGTATTGGGATAGAAACAAACCAGGATGAAAAGAGGCATTGTGGAAGGCTAAGTCAGGAAATTCAAGGCCATTAGGATACACAGTGAGACTCTGTCTTAAACAGCAACAGTGAAGGGCACTCATATAATGAATATGAAATTTCTTTTATCACCTCAGAGTAAAGGGTTGGGAAAATTTTTCTGATCAAATGGACCTAAGAAACAAGCGGATGTAGTTATCCTAGTATCTAACAAATAGACTTCAAATGAAAATCAATCAAAAGACACAAAGAAGGACATTTCATATTAGTCAAAAGAAAAATCCATCAAGAGAAAATCTCAATACTGAACATCAATGCTCCAAAAACAAGGGTACCCTCATATGTAAAAGAAACACTTCTAAAGCTTAAATCATACATTAAACCCCACACACTAATAGTGGGAAACTTCATCACTCCCCTCGCACCACTGGACAGGTCAGTGAGACAACAAGTGAACAGAGAAATAAGGGAACTAACAGATGTTAGGACTCAAATGGACTTAACAGACATCTATAGAATATTCCATCCAAACAGAAAAGAAGATACCTTCTTCTCAGCAACTCATGGAACCTTCTCAAAAATTGACCACATACTAGGTCACAAAGCAAACCTCAAACAGATACAAAAAAATTGGAATGACCTCATGTATCTTACTAGATCATCATGACTTAAAATTAGAATTTAACAGCAATACTAATTTCAGAAAGCCCATAGACACATGGAAATTGAACAATGCTCAACTGAATCTCCAATGGATCAAGGAAGAAATAAAGGAAGAAATAAAGACTTCCTAAAATTCAATGAAAATAACCACAAAATGTACCTAAATTTATGGGGCACAATGAAAGCAGTGTTAAGAGGAAAATTCATTGCACTAAATGTCTACATAAAGAAGCTGGAAAAATCCCATACCAGTGAGTTAACAGAACACCTGAAAATTCTAGAACAAAAAGAAGCTAACTCACTGAGGAAAACTAGACAGCAGGAAACAATCAAATCGAGAGTGGAATTCAGCAAAATGGAAACAAAGAAAGCAATACAAAGAATCAATGAGACAAATATTTGGTTCTTTGAAAAAAATCAACAAAATAGATAAACCCTTATTCAAACTAACCAAAAGGCAGAGACAGAATATCCAAATTAACAATATCAGAAATGAAAATGGGGACATAACAACAAACATGGTGGAAATTCAGAGAACCATCAGGTCATATTTCAAAAACCTATACTCCACAAACATGCAAAATTTAAAGGAAGTGAATAGTTTTCTGGATAGATCAAAATTAAATGAAGACCAGATAAGCAAATTAAATATATGAATAACTGCCAAAGAAATAGAAACAGATATCAAAAGTCTCCCAACCAAAAAAAGCTCAAGACCAGATGGTTTCAGTACAGAATTCTTCAAGACTTTCAAAGAAGAACTAATACCAATACTCCTCTAATTGTTCCACACAAAAGAAACAGAATGAACATTGCCAAACCCTTTTTACAAAGCTGCAATTACACTGATACCTAAACCACACAAAGATATTGCTAAGAAAGAGAATTACAGACAAACCTCACACATGAATATTAATTCAAAAATATTCAATGAAATACTAGCAAACCAAATCCAAGATCACATCAGAAAAATCATCCACTATGATCAAGTCGGCTTCATCTCAGAGATGCAGGGATGATTCAACATACCAAAATCTTTCAATGGAATCCACCATATAAACAAACTGAAAAAAAGACAACACATGATCATCTCATTGGATGCTGAAAAAGTCTTTGACAAAAATACAACATCCCTTCATGATAAAGGTCTTGGAGAGAGCAGGGATACAAGGAACATACCTAAACATAATAAAAGAAATATACATACTAATAAAAGTATACATACTAATAAAAGAAAATATACATACTAATAAACATATACATAAAAATATACATACTAATAAAAGAAAAGGGTGTATGTGTATACATACTAATAAACATATACATAAAAATATACATACTAATAAAAGAAAAGGGTGTATGTGTGGAGGGGGGATGCTATGGAGCATTTGCTGAGTTTAGAGGACCGTCTTGGGTGTCACTTTTTACTTCCTGCCTTCTTTGAGTCCCTGACCAGGGAGAGTTTCCTGGCATTTTCTTGTCTCTACTTAGTACCTTGCTGCAGCAATTCTGGGGTTACAAATGTATGCTATAGTGTCCAGCTTTCCTGTGGGTTCCATAGATTTAAACTCAAGTCCTCAAACTCATGGCACACTGTCCCCACTGAATCGTCTCCACGGTCCTAAGCATTTAACTTCTCTGATGTGTTATGAGCAGCAATCTTCTCTAGGTCCCTTCAGAGAGCAGTCAATGTGAGGCATCACCTTGGGGCCAAATAGTCCAATCTTCCTCTTTCATGCTTCAAATAAATACCTTTATAAGTCTAAGAATGCGGAGATTAAAATTGCTTTCTTAATCAAAATGACACCTTATAGCTTCCTCAGAGACCAGTGCCTAGTCTTTTGGTTACCATGGTAATAACTGAATTTATTTTATCGCAATGGTAACTAATAATTTTCCTTAATGGAGTGGTAATAAAAATAGGGGAGAAGAAGCTATGAACCCTCCAAATGAAGCAATTAGCTTGTTCTTTTTCAGAATCTAATGCACTCTGGATCTCCTCCAAAGGCAAGTGTAAGATCTCATCTCATTATTTCTACTCGAAGAGCTGAGAACTGAAGGCACTTGCTGGAGAGGAGTAAAACTCAAGGCTTCTACATTCCAACCTCTTCCCCTGGTCATTCCAGCATCCACTGGGCTTCCCACAGCTCTGCTGCCTCCTCTGTCTTTGCTCTTAGAGAAAAAGTTACGTTAGCATTTTCCAAATACATTCAAGTAGCTTGACCTTTCTGGGATCAACACAGAATGCTGCAGAAGACATTTTTAGGATGCAGCCCTTCACAGTGCTGATAGAAGAAAAGAATTTGTTTAATGCAATTCACTGGAAAAGCATATTGGGGAGTGTGTGTGTGTGTGTGTGTGTGTGTGTGTGTGTGAGAGAGAGAGAGAGAGAGAGAGAGAGAGAGAGAGAAAGAGAGAGAGAGATGATTTTATTACCCAGTCATGTCCCATGCTTCCTCCTTTATTTCCTTGATCACAACTTAGATTTTTTTTTTCAGAAACTTAGGTAGTTCAAGGCTGCTAAAGTGTAATTTGCATATGACCTTCAAGTGTAAATAGTTGAAATTAGATCTGAGGAGGTTTTTTTTCAGCCAGCCCTATCTTATTCCCCCAGAGGGCTGAAAACTAGTCAATCTAGACTAGTGAGCAGAACACGCACGTGACTGTTGACTTCAGGGCCCTCCATGTCCAAAGACAGATACCCAATTTCTGAGGGACGGCAAACCATCTCTGCCATAGTGGCTTCAAACTTTTGGACAGAGAGAGTCCTCACATAATATTCTCTCTCTCTCTCTCTCTCTCTCTCTCTCTCTCTCTCTCTCCCTGTCTCTTTCTCTCTCGTGTGTGTGCACATACTCTCTCTCTCTGTGACTGTGGAGGCCCAAGGACAACTTGAGGTGTTGTTCCTCAGAAGTTCTCCATATTTCTTGTTGTTTAAGGAAGGCCTCTCACTGACCTGGAACTCGCTGAGTAAGTTAAGATGGCTAGCCAGTGACCCCCAGGTACCCACCCACCTGTCTCTGCCTTCCCAGTGCCGGCATTACAAGGGAACCCAGTGTACCGAGTATTTTTATATAGGTTCTAAAGATTGAACTCAAATTTTTATGCCTGAAAAGCAAACACTTTTACCCACTGATATATATATATATATATATATATACATATACATATAAATATGTGTGTGTACATAAATACATACCTAGGTCCTGATATCATTTTTTAAATTTTATTATTATTATTATTGTGTCTTTATGTGCATGATGTTTTGCCTGTAAGTGTGTCTGTGTACCACGTGCATGCCTGGTGCCCCACGGATGCCAGAAGAAGGCAACAAATCCCCTTGGAATTGTAGTTACAGATGGTTGTGAGCCACTATGTGGTGTTGGGAATAGAATCCAGGTCATCTGGAAGCTCCGTCCAGCCCTTCTCCTCCCCCCCACTCTTTTTCCATTTTCTTTCTTTCATTTGGTTACAGCCCACAGTCTTACTATGTAGCTCTGGCTGGTATGTAACTCAGTATGTAAGCCAGGCTGGCCTCAAGATCTCAGAGATCCACCTACCTCTGCCTCTGAGTGTTGGGATTAAAGACATGGATGACCACTACTGGCAAGTGATATCACTTCCCAATGTCAAATGTACAATGGGGTCCTGAATGTAGACGGAACATTCATCTGTGTTTATGACTTACTAAATGGGTGGGAGCTGGGTTCAGTTCCATCATCTATGAAATATTTATTGATTTGAAGAGCAAGAAAGATTACTTTGATGTTGTTACTTTGTGACATACATGTTGAACAGTTATTTTAATAGACAGTGTCTGAAGTCTGTTCTTTTTTACAGAGTAAGCCAGATCTTCATTTTCTTCACAGGAAACTTCTTTTGGGTTTCCTTCGGCCAGTGCTCTAAGCACTGTCTGCTGAGTTGGCCACCACTGGTCCCCTGAGGCATCCTCCTGCTCTTCGTATATGTGCCTTGTCACGGGGAATGAGACGCAGGAGAGATGACTGCTTGGGCTGGCCGATTTTTGTCCTTCTGTATGCTGACCAAACCCTGAGGAGGAGAAACGTTTCCATTTGGGGTAGAATGAAGTCATGAGGCACCTATCAAAGGCTCCCACGTAGCCATTAATGACCGGAGACGACAATGCAAGACTGGCTCTGACAGGTCCTTAACCCGCAACCACTTCTCTGTACATCTCAGTGGCAATATCTGATCTGTCCCACTGCTGAGGCTGGTGGTCAGATGGTCACTCCACACCACCGCCATGGGATGAGGGCACAGGGACTGGGTAAGAATTACAAAAGCAATGAACTTTATTTTCTCCCTAGATGGTCTCCCTGGATTGTAAGCACATGTAAAGGAGCATTGTAAGTGTGACCTGCTATTTTATCCCAATGTTCCATCTACTTTTGATTACTGTCTTGAGGACAGTCTATTGTCTTTGTGCATCAAGTGGAAAATATGCCTTTTATGATTATTGTATGTATGTGCATGTGAAAAAAACCTGTTGCAAATGTTGAAAACATCATCCTTGATTTATGAAATACTGATGTACAACAGGAAGAAATGTGATGAGCTCTCCTTGGGTGGTAGCACTAACAGTAGCATCAGTATGGTTGCTATCCAGAAGATTCATTTTCCTGTAAATTTCAGCATGTCTTTCATGTAATGGTTCATTACTGCTATTCTGTGTAAAAAGAAATTTCAAAATAAAACTTGTTTGTTGTATGGGTTATAAAGTCTGGTCTCATTCCTGTTTCAACTTCTCTTGGCATGAGAATAAACAATGGCTTGTATATCACTCACTGGGGTGAATATTGCTATTTTTTTCTGTACACAGTGCAAGGTGACGTGCAAGATTTATTTGATTATTATGCACATGTATGCATGTGTGCCTGTGTGTGTTTAGTGTGTTCAAGTGCATCACATGTGTGCACTTGCCTGTAGAGGCCAAAAGGGTGTTATAAGAATCATTTGTGAACCACTCATTGTGGGTACTGGGAATTGAACCTGAGCCCTTGGCAAGAGAAGTAAGTGCTTTCACCTTTTCTTTTCTTTTCTTTTCTTTTCTTTTCTTCTCTTCTCTTCTCTCTCTCTCTCTCTCTCTCTTTCTTTTTATTAAATGAAGGAAGTTTTTTATCCCTGCTTACAGTTCATCATGACAGGAAGTCACGGAGGTGGGGCTTGAGGTGGCCAATCCTACTGTGTCACAGTCACAGTCTAGAGGAATGGGCTGGTGCTCAACCTGCTTTCTCCTTTTCATTCAGCCCAGGACCCCAGCCACAGAGTGGGGTCTCCACATTTAGGATGGGTCTTCCTACCTCAGCAAATCCAATCTAGAAATTCCCTCACCAAGAAGTTCAGAGATTTGTCTTCTGGGTGGTTTTAGATCTAGCCATGTTAACAGGAACTTCCTGTCTTACTAATTCTGCAGACTTCCTGTGGTAGTGTGAGTCTTAAAGAGTCACATGTCTGAGCACTTGGTTTCCAGATAATGATACAATTTGGGAAGGTTATGGAAGCTGTGGGAAGGAGCTTTTTGGAGGAAGTACATCATGATGGACAAGTTTTGAGGTTTATAGTCTGGTTCCACTTCCTGTCCTGACCCTTCCTTCCTGTGTAGGGATGAAAGGTGATCTCTCCACTTTCTGACTACCTTCTGGCCTCACACCTCTGCTACCATGCCTTTCCTGCTGAGACAAAGAACAGTATCCCCACTGGAACTGTAAGCTAATGTCAGCCCTTCCCGCTCTATGTGGCTTTCTGTTAGAGTGTTCTCCACAGCAACAATAAAGAAACTCATGCCGTCCATAACCTTCATTATCAAACAGTTGGAAAACTGCATTTCAGTTAGTGCTTTTATTGGGGGAAATTTATCCTGAAAATGTTTTGAAGTCACTGTCCCTAAGGCTGATTTTCTTCAGCAACAAGTTTTCTGCAGTGGCCAAGTTCTTGCCGGTGTCATCTCTTCCTTCATGCTTTCTCATAGGTCCTAGTGCAGACAACGTTGTTCATGGTGCACTCCTAGAAGCAGAGAGATGTGTTAGTGATGACTGTTGACAGGTCAGACCCAACCTTTCCTCTTTCCGCAGACCAAGCCCTCAATTCAGGCTACAAAGGAGGTTAAGTAGCTTGATTGACATGCATTCAAAACAGTGTTGTAAAAATGTAAACTTGGGGAACACTCACCACTACCATTTTCCCCTCCACGATTTTTCTTTTGATTGTTGTCTCCTTGCCGAGCCATTTTTGGACCTGGATCATTGACCCACCTTCTAATGTTACGATGCTCTATAAATGCATAGGAAGTGATTAGGAGTCGTTCACTACTTTCCACCTATCACAGCAGTAGATATCTACAGTTTAACTTCATGTCTGAAATTCTGTTCTGCATAATGCACACCTTGGTTCCTGTTAGGATTTAATAAGTCAATGTAGAAGTCTCAACTTTAGACAACTAAATTCATGTTCTCATATACTAGAATTTCCAAGCTATTTGACCTTTTGATCTTAATAATTGTTCTAGTCTATATGATCTTTCATACAATAACAAACAAGTCGGGGGAAGAGGAGGAGTGAGTGCAGATTGCAGCACAAAGCGGTACACATCTGTAACCCTAACACTCAAGGGCCAAGAGCAGGAGAATTCTAAGTTGCAGTCAGCTTAGGCTATATCTCAAACCACAGCATCAGAAAGACTAATAGGAACATTTTACTCCATTAAGCTGTCTGAATAACTAGCAAAGGATTGACTTTTCGCGTGCACAGATTCAAACCAGCCCAACCAGACTTAGCAATAAGTCAGCCTGTTGAATGAACCCTACCAACCACCTGTTTCCACAGCGGTTGAGCACAGGAAGACTTAACTCCAACTCACCTTCACTTGCCGACTGTCTGCAGTGGTTTCATCAAACTGTTCCCCCAGTTTGAAGGAGATCTCCGTGTTCTGGAAAGAGCTTTCTGTTTGGATGTTAATCTTTTCCCCATTGAGACTAATATTAACAGTTGGCTTTACTAAACCTGCCACATTCCGGGCTGCAAAATCCACTCCTGAGAGACAAAGAAAGATAGACAAAGAAACATTCACACATTCAGGAAGATGTACGACCGCCATCGTGAACACCCACTCTTAAAGAACGCATCCTCCCTCACTGAAAGCTTGACTGGTGTACAGCCTTATTTCTTTTGAAATTGAGTCTCATTACATAGCACTGGCTGGCCTTCACCTCAAGATCCTCCTGTTCTTGCTTTGAGTCCTGGACTTGTAGGTGTGTGCCACCATTTCCAACAACAGTGTCTTATTTGATGTTGTCACTAGTCTCTAGATTAAGCCAGGTCCTTCCGTGGTGCTGCTAGTCATTCTGCCATCTTGAAAAACACATTGGTGCTTAATATGAAATGCATGTTTGCTGGATGACTTTTAGGGGAGCAAATGCTTGTATTTTACCTTGTGGAAACTTACAAAGACAGTGTGGGAATGACATGGCGCAAATCCTGGCCCTGCTGCTCAGATTGGGGACTTTAAATTGTCAAATATGACTTTTGCAGTAGGCAGACAGAAACTGACTCATCTCTCTGAACACATATTGAAATCTACTGCCTGTTCAGACTATTGACGTGTGCCTCCATGTAGAACAGATATGTGTTCAGACTACTGACGTGTGCCTCAGTGTAGGAGAACAGATATGTGTTCAGACTATTGATGTGTGCCTCGGTGTAGGAGAACAGATATGTGTTCAGACTATTGACGTGTGCCTCGGTGTAGGAGAACAGATGTGTGTTCAGACTATTGACGTGTGCCTCGGTGTAGGAGAACAGATGTGTGTTCAGACTATTGGCATGTGCCTCGGTGTAGGAGAACAGATGTGTGTTCAGACTATTGACGTGTGCCTCGGTATAGGAGAACAGATGTGTGGGCTGTGAGAAGGTGGCCAAAGCCTGGGCTTCCACCTCAACATTCCACAGCTTTCTCCATAGTAAGCTGAGGGTGCCTCAAGCCCTCCTCATGCTTGCATTGGAAGAGAACTTGAGAGGTCTTAGAAGGGCCACAGAACAGAGTAAAGACCTTGTTACAGACTTAACCTGGCGCCAAGTCAATACAAGGGTTATTCTGGTATAAGCCCAAGTTCCCACCCATTACTCTCCCATATCTGTCTATTCTTATGTCTATATTTATGTATAAATAGATGCATGTTACATACAGAAATATGGATATACAAATATAGACAAAAATAGTTATATAATATTACATATAACCCATATTTAGTATGTTAGTATATTAGATTTATATTATACTATATTATATTATATTATATTATATTATATTTCCATACAGGACTTTCTATGTTATCAGACTGGCCTTGGACCTTCTGTCTTCCTGTTATAGCCTGTGACAGCTGGGATTGTAGTTACCCACTGCCATATCCATTTCCAAGTTTCTTATTTGCCTTCAAATTTTTATCCAAAACAAATATGTCTATAAACCCATGAAGAGGTAGGGAAATTTCTTTATTATTTCTGAGAAGTTAATACTGTCTGTGGAAGATGAACAGGTATTGTATTTTAAGCATGTTAACTTATTGAGGGGATAAAGCATTGTTGTTTTGGTGCTTAGAAAGAGTACATATGTTATTAATACTGCTAAATATCCATTGGTCATTGTAGGCAAAATGCAAAAAGTGAAGAAATCTTCTGTTTTCTATATGGCTTATTTATAAAAGAGGTTGCTATTAATTATGAAAAATGAATTAACTGTTGTTCTTCCAGAATTCATAGAAAGGTGTAGCTGTGACAGACACAACTCATTATAACTCGTGTTTGACTCCAGAGCTTGAAGTACAAACAAAGGTCAGGCAGGCCCCCACTCTGAGAGGCAGAATATGGGAGACAGTCAGCCAGTAAGGGAAAACTGTTCTAGTTCTCCTCTCCAGAAGAAAACCTTCAAAACCATGTATTGAATATCACTCACACATGCATGAACACTCGAGCAAAAACAGACTCTCGATGTTATTTGTTGCTACAATGCTTCTAAATTTATAACTAAAGTAAAGCCCAAACGAATTCAATCTATAGCCATATTACAATGATTCTTTCGCATCAGTTTGGGGTTAAATGAAAGCTGCTCAATGAAACGAGCCAGCTAGAGAGACACTCTGTCCGGAGATCTGCACGATGACTTCATACCGGGGCCTGCTGGGACATATATGGACTATAAACTGAGAGAGCTACGAGCACAGTTAGAATTTTTAAATGCTAATTATTTATTATAAGAAAAACAACTATTAATAATAAATGGAATTTTAAACATCTCATATGAGTATAACCTATAGTCACAAGAAAGAAAATCATAGAAAATATTTTTGTGAGGTACAAAGTAAGCCCCAACACCAAAATCTCTTGTCACAAATCCCTGAATTCCATGATGGTGTCTCTCACCCAGTTCTCTCATGTAATCCTCGAAGTTTTCGCTGGAGACCAGCTTCCAGGTTCCCAAGAAGGGCTCAATCATCGTGGGAAGCTTTCTGGGAGGATGAGGCACTCACAACTGGCAGCCAAGGCAGTGTGGGCACCTCTATGTCTCCAGCAGCTTATTTTAAAGAACATCTTCATCATGTGGCCTTCCTGAAGTGACCAATGGGATGCCAGGAGCTGAGATTCCAGGCACCAGCCTTTGACTCATTGTGTTTACCTTCAAATTAAAAGACAGAAACCTAACCAGCAGAACTTAATACAGGTCAACCCCTTTTAACTCTAGCAAAGAGATTTACACCCAGGAGTCACCCGATAGATCTTTCCTGCCGAATGGAGACAACTGTCAATGGAGACCAATCTCTCAACACTAATGCTGACTTACCCCGAGGGAACCTCCGGCAAATGTCTGACGAACACCGACTCCATGTTTTCCTGCCCTAAACAAGGACATCTCCGCTTGGTCTGCCTCAGCTGGTTTTTTTTTTTGTTTGTTTGTGCAAGTCATAGTGTCCAAGCCTCCCCTTCATTAGAAGAACATCCTCCCTTCCTTTGCTTGCAGGGTTGATGCATTGATATTGTTAATGTAACTTAACATGCCTACAGTTGCTTGGAGTGAAGTCTAAGGTGTCATTAACAGTATCGTTGTTGTCAATCAAGGATAGCTGAGGACCACAAAGAAGATGCCAATTATTGTTGAGCAGAGCTTTGTGATTTAAGCCTTAAAGTCTCCCTCTCTGCCTCTCTCTCTCCCTCTGTCTATCACTCTTTCTGAGACAGGGTCTTCCTATGTATCCCAGGCTGGCCTTAGCAATCCTCCTGCCTCAGTCTTCCAATGTCTGGGAATGATTACAGACATGCTTCATCATGGCTAGTTTGCAAACTCATTTTTATATTAAAAGATGCCATTTGAGATGGTGCAGGTAAATTTTGGGAAGTTTTTTTCGGGGGTTGGTAGGGTTATGTCTGACATCTACATTCTAAAAAGTAAAAAGGACACAGGTGAATTAAACCTCTATGTAATTCCTTCTTGTTTCGTGTTCTGCTCTCCAAGCAACTGAAGTAGGTCAGAGACCCAATTCACACATTGGATCAAGTGGATTGATGGTACTGCTCCGCCCTTCAACTGCGTCAGAGAACTGGAAATTTAGATGGCCAGAAACCAGAAAATGAGTACCGATATTTTTATCTGTGCTATGTCAAATAGCTTTTTGACTCTGAGAAATGTATATTTATCTTTGTATGTAAAGCCATCTCTTTTCATATAAAGCAAGCAAGATATTGCTGTTTGAGCACCAGGGAGCAATGATAATTTAGGTGGGAGACAGAACTGCTTTTGAAGAGGAGATATAAAGAAGTGGGGAATGTTATGTTGCTATGACTTGAAGAGTTACTGAGCTGTCTGGAGAGAGCAGAGGCTGGAACAAGAGCACTAGAAGGGGTCAGGAGAGATCATGCTGATGATAAGGGCCTTTACGGGAGACTGTGTTCTCAGCTTCAGCGTTTAGATACAGAGCGAGCTGCCAGGCCTGCCTCACTGCTTCCAACCATTCTCCCTGCACTGCAAGGGACCAGGGAGTGGTGGGCAACTGTCCTTGTTATTCTGAGGTTGACCCAGAAGTGAATATTGTGGTCCCTTTTAGAACTCAGTTGGCCCATAGAACAAAAGGGAAAGTCAAATTCTACCGCCTGTAGGGTTCCCCACTCATGGAAGGAAGGGGGTGGTAGAATGGTCTCGAGTCTTGCTCTGCACACTTTGATTGCTTCTGTGATATTACACTGCTGTACCACATCGTGATACAAACTCAAAAACAGAGCAACGACCAATCTGTTACACGAGTGTCGTTGTCAGTTATCAGTCTCGTGCCTGATATTTGTCACTTGGTGATTAAGCCTTTTACTATTGACAAATCTTTGTGTCAATAACTTCATTAAATGGAATGGTTCATGTGGATCCAGCCAATTACTTGCATGCTGAGTAGGTGATTTCATGCACACTCCACCCACTGTCAGCGACCCAACTCCAGCATGTGACAGTCTGGTTCAGAGCTATTCGGTACCTATTATAGCATACATTTAGATCTTAGAATGAAATGTATTACAGTATGCAGCTTATAGCACTGCATTTCTGCTGGGTATCTGCATGCTGCTGTAAAAGTGAATCAAGAGAGACACTACTTTCTATATTCCTAAAACAGTGCCTGCTGTAAACGACATTGTACACAAATGAGTGACAAAAGAGATAAACAGCTCTCTCTTTTTTTAACTAGCACTTCCGATTAGTGTCAGCAGGAACTAAAGAACGTGGGAACATGGTGTTTCCCTGGAACTATGATAATCCTTTTGCTCTGGTCCTCCCTGCATAGAGTGGTACTTAGTTTGCATTGTTAGGGCCACAATACCACACAGACAAACTTAAGGAGTGGTTTATTTGGACTTTCAATCACAGAACTTTTAGTCCACGGGGGGGGGGGGGTGGGGGGGTGGGGGGGGGTGGGGGGGGGAGGTAGGGGAGTGGATCAGCCTGGTAACCTCACAATGGTAGGCGTCCAGAGCAGTGGCTCATCACATATCAGTTGACCAGGAAGCAAATAATACATGACAAGAACTTGGAAGTTAGGTGAACGGTTCACAGAGCCATACCCAGTTGCCTGCTTCTGCCAGTCAGAAAGTGCTTTCTGAAATTACACAGCCTCTCAAAAAGCTGCGAAGCAAACATTCAAAACATGAGCCTCTGGAGGACATTTAAAAGTCAAATCAAAACTTTTAGCCCTGATTTCCAAAAGCTCATGGCTGTCTCATAATGCAAAATGCATTCAATAACTTCAGTAGATTCTGAAGCTTCAGCATGATTCAGGATTCAGAAATCTAAAATTTCTGCTAAGACTGAAAATGATTTTGCAGTGGCTTATAGCTAAAAAATCATCTTCAGTCTTTGAGTAGACTTTTTCCATTTCTTTGCAAGTCCTGGGATTTTTATTGTGGTTGATGTTGGAAATTGGATATTCAAATCTAGTGTTGTACTAACTATGGTAATCAAGTTGCAGTAAGATCTTAGAAAATGCTGACTCTTCAGTTGTGTCTAATAGATGTCCAATCAGCGACTTAACACTGACACTTGGCATCTCCGCCTTTGTGTTTATTTACCTTCTTTACTTTGGGTTAGATTCCTATTCAACTCTACACATAGATGTATTAAAATTTTAATGTGTGTCTGTCAAGATTTGCAGTGATATTCAGCTGTGAATTTTCATGATGTCCATCTCCAGATCTCCTGGTGTAGTGTGTAGAAGTGTCCAGTTATTGTTCTATTCTGTGGAATAATCCTTCTGTACATTATGTGAATATATGTTACTAGGATTGGATTTATAAAAAAGCTGACTGGCCAATAGCTGAACAGGATAAAGTCAGGCAGGAAAGTCAAACTGAGAATGATGGGCTAAAGAAAGGCAGAGTCAGAAGAGTCGCCAGGAGATGAACATGCCATGCTAATAAAGGTACAACCTTGGTTGCAGAGCATATAAGAGGAATATTGCTTAACTTAAAATGTAAGAGCAAGTTGATTGGGGGAGGGGGAGGGAAATGGGAGGCAGTGGCAGGGAAGAGACAGAAATCTTTAATAAATAAATAAATAAATAAAAATAAAATTAAAAAAAAGAAGGAAAGGAATGGGATGTGCAGTCGTTTAGATTGTCTGAAACCTTGGTAAAGGAAGCAGAGCGATAATGTACCTGTTTAAAGTCAAATGCACTGAAATAAAAGGATGTATTTAGAACTACAAAAAAAAAATGTAAAAGCAAGTTAGTAATATGCCTGAGCTATTGGTCAAACATTTACAATTAATGTAAGTCTCTGTGTGGTAATTTGGAAGCAGCTCCTAGGACAGGAAAACTTTGTCTACAGTTATAGCTTAAACTACCTTTGGGTTCTAAGAACGGTATTTCCTCTCAGATAGATCTCCATAAAACAAGATCACTCCTAGTTAGGATCAATTGGACAATGATGAAAGGCAAGGCTTCTCCCTAAACAGAGGCAATCATAGGGTCATTAGACTGTCCTCTCAACCGATGAGAACCTCACTGAAGCCACCTTGCAGAACCAGGACTGAGACAATTATCAGTGAGCACCTTGACTAAGAGTGTTGCTTACGTATAATGCTTGCCCTCCCTCGGCTTCTTCTTTGTTTACAGCTGAGGCTCAGATCCATATACCTGAGGAGGGTTGAGATGCTCAGTGTCCCCTGCCTTTATTCATGTAGCCATAATGATCAAATTCATTAGCCGCCTTCCCATAATTAGTTTTCCGTCTGATTTCTGGCTTGCATGGCCAGTACCACTGTCGAGACTTGGCCAGAATCAAACCTTTGCTTTATGGCTCTGATAACAAAGTACTCTCCTCCTTTCTTCCCCAGGATTTGTTGGCATTTTTCTTGATTTGTTTCATTTCTATTATTTTTGCTAGAGCCCAACCTGAGAAGTAAGATCAACAGTTGCCCCAGATCTTATCTGAGCTCTAGGTTTTTAAATCCTTTACTGTGTCTCCCCAATTCCATTCTTCCTTAAGATTTCTTCTGAATGTCTTAGTCTTTAGGACTGGTTCCTGAAGGGGGAGAACAGAAAGTTGCAATGGAGAAGAGCTGGCCATGTAAACATCCTGCATTTAATGGAACTTTTAATACCTTGGATTTCTCCAGTCTAAGAAGACAGGGCTACAACAGTGAAGTGTGTTTGTGTCTCTGTGTGTGTGACTGCTGGCCTCTGTGTATGACCTCTGTGATCATCAGCTGCAAGCATCAATCCAAACACACTTCCAGGGGCTGAGAAATGTCTAAGTGGGTAACGGCGATTGTTGCCAAACATGATGACCTGAGTTCAATCCCTGGGGCCCACATGATAAAAATGAGAACTGATTCTTGCAAGTTGTTCTCTGACCTACACGCACACTGTGGTATATGTGCTTCAGTAAGAATGTTCACACACAAACACACACACACACACACACACACACACAGAGAAAGAGAGAGAGAGAATATGGTTTTTA